GCCTTGATTTTTCATAAAGTCACTAGCTTCCAATTGCTCCATTCTAATTTTTAAGGACGTATTTTCTTCAGTGAGCTTTTGGACTTCCTTTTCCACTTGGCCAATTTTGCTTTTTAGGGCATTCTCCTCATTGGCTTTTTGGACCTCTTTTGCCATTTGGGTTAGGCTATTTTTTAAGGTGTTATTTGCTTCAGAATTTTTTGGGTCTCGTTTAGCAAGCTGTTGACTTGTTTTTAATGATTTTCTTGCATCACTTTCATTTCTCTTCCAAGTTTTTCTTCTACTTCTCTTACTCATTCCTCAAAATCCTTTTTGAGCTCCTCCATGGCCTGGGACTGATTCATATTTTTCTTGGAGGCTTTGGATGTGGGAGCTTTGACTTCTTCTGGTTGTATGTTTTTATCTTCTTTGTTACCAAAGAAAGATTCTATGGTCTGACTTTTTTTTTTGGACTTTTGTTTATTCATGATACTAGCCAATTACTTGAGTTTTAAACTCTTTGTTAAGGTAGGAGTCTGATTCCAATGTGGAGAATGTACTGTCCCAATCTTCAGTGGTTTTGTGCAGCTGTTTTCAGAGGTACTTCTAGGGACCTGTAAATTTTCAGTTCTTCCAAGGTGGTATGATAAGGGGCAAGGTATTTACTCATTTTATGGCCTGTGCTCTGGTCTGTGAGTGACCACAAGCACTCTTTTCTGCCTTGGAACTGTGAAGAGGATTTCCTGTTCACTGCCACTACAAGTTCCACCAAGCCAGCACTCCACCTCACCCCAGGATCACCATCCACAACTCTGACCCAGGTCTAAGCATGGACAAAGCAAGAGAATCCTGCACCAGCAGAGAGATCCCTGCAATCCCCCTCTGGTCAGCCACTTGATTCTCCCTCAGTCTATGGGCCAGAAGCTCCAGAAGCAGCCACTGCCCTGGATCCAGCTTGGGGAATGGGTCTGGGACTGATCTTCTCTCTCTCACCGCAGACACAGGCTTTTCCCACTGACCTTCTAAGTTGTCTTTGGCATTCCTGGGTTGAGAAATCTGGAAACCACCACAGCTGCCTGCAATTTAATTCTCTGAGGCCAGCTCCAGGTGCGCTGAGGCCTGCCTTTCCTGTGTACCCATGCCAAACTGCACTCCTCTCCCAGTCCACACAATATATCTTTCTGAGCAACCATCCAGGCTGTCTTAGGCTGTAAATTTGTTTCACGCTGTCTTTTTGTGGGTTCTGCTGCTTTAGAATTTGTTTAGAGCCATTTTATGCAGGTATTTGGAGGGGTTTGGGGGAGAGCTCAAGTAACTCACTGCTTTCACTCTGTCATCTTGGCTCCACTCCTCAGAATGCTTCTATTCACCTATGAGTAAACTTAAGCCTTGAGAAATTGAATGTGTGTGCCTGAGCTTAGTTTTCCAACATAGTCCTTTCCTCTCATGCCAGAGCTCTTTCTACTATGTAGACCACCTCCTCTGTATACTACAGTGTGTGTTCCTCCCCACTTCTTCAAGAGCTGTGGTTTTAGGGGCCTCTAACTGAAACCATGCCTCATCAATACCTGGAGTTGCTCTTGGTCCTGCCTCTCTCCTCCCTTCTTCCTCAAGTAATCTAAGTAGCATCTTCATTTTGTAGGTGACAATGGAGTCAAAGAGAGATGAAATGACTTATCTATGATCAAATCATTAGAGCTGAATTCACACTTTCTGACTTTTAGCTCAATGATCTCAGGCCATGTCACAGCCTCTAAACAGTAAGCCCACTTTCCATTTTGCAAGCACAGGGACCTCATCAATCAGGACTCAAGCACACAGGCCAAGTTCAGCTGTGTGGGAGCCCAGATCCTAAAGAAGGGTCAAGATCTGTCTCATATTAGTATTTTACAGCATCACCCCAGAGCCACAGGGTAACATTCTGGAAAATTTAACTTTAATGCTGGTGCTGTCCCTTCATCAATTAATCAGTTACTAAACTCTTACTAATTAGTGAAGTTCCTGTGTGTCAGGCACTGTAGTAAGATTCAGACACAAAAGACCATCCCTGCCATCAAGGAGTTTACCATCTAATGGGGGAGACAGCAAGCAAGCAAATGTATACAAAGCAAGTGATATACAAGATGAATAGGGAATAATTAACAGAGGAAAAGCATTGGGATTAAGAAGGGTTGGGGAAGGCTTCCTGGAGAAGGTGGGATTTGAGTTGGGTCTTAAAAGAATGCAGAGAGGTCAGTAGTCAGAGCAGATGAGTGACAGCTTTGATGGACAGGTATTGGAGGACAGCCAGTGTAAAAAAGAAAAAGAATATTTAGTATGCTAGAGCCCAGCTATTTCCTCTACATCAAAGAAAATTTTCAGAGCAAAGTGAGAAGAATCTAGAGAAGAAATTATCCAGTATCAACATCATAAAGATAAACAAAACAACTTTGAAAGACTGAAGAACTTGGCTCACTGCAATGGCCAAGCACAGCTCAGGAGGACTGCCACTGAGGAGGAAGGGTGAGACCCACCGTGGAGGGAATGCAGAAAGAGACTTATTTTTCTTTTTTTTTTTAAATTTTTCAAAGTGGAGTGAGAGAGAAAAAATAAATTCTCAACTAAAAACTAAAAATTGAAATAAGAAATACTTTACATGAAAGACTCACAACAAATATTAACAAAACAAATAAGGAGCTGACATAAAACAAGTCTTGTTAGACTCTCTTCAGGCATTGAGAGTTCAAAACATCAGCATCTAAAGCAGTTGGGAGAACTGGTTTCCTTAGCTCTACACAGTCAAAGCAATTTTCCCTAGGTCCCTATTTTCTGGCAAACCAGGGAGGGCATTTTCCTCTTAATTCTAGTAAATTTTTCCTGGAAGGATGTCACTGCAAAGCATAACTCCTGCTGCTAGGTAGTTCTCGCTAGGTGCTCACAGCCCTTAGTTTGTATTAGTTCATTGAGGACAGATTGTCATTGCTTTTCTTTATATACTCAGTGCTTAGCATTGTACCTGGAACATAGGAGGCACTTAATAAATGTTTATTGATTCACTGATATCAGGTTTACAACCATTTTAAGAGATGAAAGCTGCTTGCAAAGAGCTTACAATTAAATATGGGTGACCCAACAAGCAGCCAGCTCAGTAGAATGTGATCAGAGCAAAAGAGCTGTTTAAGCATGGTACTCTCATAAAGCCATAAGAATATAAGGAAGAACAGTTCACAGCCATCTGATAGGGAAGATCCCATGGAAGAGCTTATAGTTGAGTTAGGATTTGAAGGAGGAGAAGAATTTCCACCTGCAGAGAAGGGAATTTCCATCCCAGGCACATGGCACAGACTGTAGGAAGGGAAAGTGGGAAGTCCTTGATGACTCCAAGTGGGATGGGGGAATGCCAACTTTTCCTTTGTCTCTGGATCCCTCCCCTTGCAAAATGGAGTCTTTTACATTGCAGGCCCTTCAGAAATGTGTGATGGTTTGAACTGTATGATAATGCATGACAAAGAAGGCATTGAGGGGAGTACTGTGAAATGCGACTGGATAGAGAAATTAGAACTAGCTTTTTAGGGGACTTAAATGCCAGGATAAAGAAGTCTTTGCTTTATCTTATCAACAGTGGAGAATCACAGATTTGGAATTTGCCAAAACAATAACTCTAGGAACAAAATATTGTTTATTTCAATCAATGGATCAAATTCACTGTCTATTTTAGAATTCTCTAGATCTAATTTAAGATCACAGCAACAAACAGAAATGGACTTGACAAGCTGAATAAGCCAAGACATTGCTATGTCAGTCACCCAAGTGGATTGAGCAAGTAGACATTTTAATCAGATGCAGTCTGGCTCAACCTAAGGGCAGAACATCTCATCTATATATCAGTATTTAGAACCCAGGACTATTTTAGGAAGGTTTTGGTACCAAGGCAGCCTACCTCAAATCGGGCTGGCTGGGTGTAAAGTCGTTTTCTCAGAAGAGTGAAGACACAGTAGTTAAACAACCTCCTAATTTGGTCAGTTAAATCAAACAACAGTTACTTTGCTAAGTTCAAACATACCAGTTGTATTTATTTGCATGGATTCTCTGATTAATTCTCCCAAGATAGGATTAGAGATTTAGGATGTCTCTTGGAAGGTCCTTAGAAACAAGTGAGTCTAATGCCTTAATTTTGCTGATTTTATTTAATTTTACAACTGAGATTTGCAACTGAGATGTAGTTAAGTGAAATTGTTTTCTTAGAGTCATATAGCTAATAAGGGTTTCATGGGAGATTTGAACCCAGCTCTCCCTGAGTCCAAATCCAGTGCCCTTTCAACTATACCACAACGCTTCTGTTTAGAATGTAGGACACTTTGTTAATTTTTTTTCCGTACACTACTTGTAGAACATTATTGTTTTGTTTCACTACTAGGAACTTGAATAAAAATTCTCTTTTACCTTACTTTGTTAGTAGGCAGTCAAACTTGCTATAACACCAAAGAGGTGGCCCATATAATCCCAAGTGCCAAAGAATCCCTACAATCCTTATAAAACCAAAGTTTTATTATAGGGAAAGGAGTAAGAGTTTTTCCTCTTGAGTTTCTCCCAGGTTTAGTTGTAACATGAAAGCCTGGTCTTCCCCCTACTGCCTGCTTTTATTATTGGGTTAAAGGCTGAAGGTGGCATGGAAATCTTTTTTAAGAACAGGCCACTAAAACTAGTGGCGGCCAAGTGACCTCAGAATTTCTGAGACAGAGTTGTCTGCCAGAGACTGGAGGCATAGGAAGCAGACCAAGTCCCAGAAGGCTCTCCCAGATCCATTGTGCAATCTGGTCCTGTGGGGAGAAAGCTGGGGAAGGAATCTTCTGGGGTGAAGAGGTTGATGTCCACATCTCTATGGGTTACTCTGAAGCTCAGCAATCTTGGGCCGCAAGCATTGCAAGGTCTGAGGATGCCTGAAGATAACAGGACAAAGGTCTTGAGAGTCTAGCTGACAGGCTGTCAGAGACACAGGGTCCAGGCTGACTTTTTTCCCAGTGTCATGACAAAGACACAGCATGGAGATGACCTCTACAATTGCTGCCAGGCCTGCTAGTCTGCAGGATCCACACACCATGCAGGCTGTGGAGGCCTGTGGGGATAGGGGACAAGGTCTCAAGGGACCCACCCACAGTGGGAGTATGAAGAGAATCAGGACCCCAAAGACTCAAAGACTGAGGGCCAGGGTGGGCCAGGTTGCTGCCCAGGAGGGCCCAAGGTCTCATTCACCTCCCGTATGCTCCTCAAAGACTTGTCACTTTGCTAATTTTTTTTAATTACTTTGCATTTCAGTATCTCTCAGAACAATACATTCTAGAAAATCCAATGTGTACACTGATTCCTCCAGTGGAATGCATTCTCTACCATCTCATAATTTCTTGGAGAAATGTTGAAATAACCCTCAGAGTGACATTTCAACTAATAATCATGTATGCTTTTTCACTAATGTCTTAGAGGTGTTCCCTTGAAAGCAGGTTTTGCTAAGGAGTAAGAAGGATGGATCTTAAGAGTCCAGTTGCCTGAGAAGGTGGTATCAGAAGGGCACCAAATGTGGAAAAACAGTGCAGCATGAGGAGGCTGCACACCCTAAAAAATCAACTTAGCTGACATTGCAGTTTTGCTAAAAATTGACAATGAAAAAGAAGCTTCTACTATCAGAGTTTTCTTATTTTTTTTATCTTAGTGATATTTATTGAAAGACACACTCCAAGGTACTTAGTGGGAGGTGTGTAAGATAGGACACTAAATTCGTTGCATTTCTAAAGATAACAATAAGCTGAGGCTGGTGAGGAAAGCAATTAAGAGAGTTTTCTTTGAGCTCTATGGGGTGGAACAGTGAGATCAAAGAAATGGCAAGACCAGTGCTCAGCATGGTTGACATGATAAACACTGACAAGAGAGAGGAGTGAAGACTGCTCAGTTTATATTTGGCTCCCTTTTTTCTGCCAAGGATGATGACTTTAGTGCTGGAAAGAACATAAGAAAAATGACTCCTTGGCTTTCATTAGTCAGTTATGGAGGAGATAGCATAGTAAGAGATAACTTCATGAATTCAATTAAACTAACTTAGATAATCACAAGTAATAAAGATATCATTTGGGGAGCCAAGATGGTGGAGTAAGAGGTGAGTCACTCTTACTTCCTTATTAACCTCTGAAAGCTCAGAAAATGTCACCCCAGGAAAAACCCTGGAACAGCTGAACCAGAAGAAAAATGGGGTGCAGCAGTCCAGTAGCCCAGGTAGCTTGAGGGATTGACAGGAAAGGCCCCTCTTACCCTGGGGGAAGCAGAGCAGTACAGAACTGGAGTGTCCCAGCAAGTTAGTGTAAAGCCCCACCTCACATACCAGGAGGAGATCCTGAAGCCCAAGTGATGCAGCAGGCAAACACCAACACCTGGATCTCAGAGTGCCTCAGTGAGGCTAGGGGGTGGGGGGAAGCCAGTGGAAACCAGCTCAGAAAACCACCAGGTGCCTCGGCACTCTACCACAAAGGAATCTCCCAGTGCATTGGCAGAAACCAGGGAGACAACACTGCAGGGGGCCCCAGGAAGATAAACACCCTGCAGCACCCATCTAAAAGGAGCTGAAGAAAGCTAAAGGAAAGGAAAAGCAGACAAGCTAGAATTTCCTGAAAGTTCCAGCCTTGCTGATTCCAGCCCAACATGAGGTAAGCTGCCAGAAACCTACAGTCTCCAATTGCCAGCATAAGAGGCCCCAGCACACAAAGCCAGTGACCAAGAGCTAGGCTCCCAACACAAGAAGCTTGGGTCAGTACCCTCTGTTCCCCAGCAGGAGAGCTCAATCTCTTTAAAGGCCAGGGAATAAAGAAACACCATGAGTAAAAAGAAACGTACATAGATTCATATTATGAGAAGAGTGAAGATCAAGACAGAAATTCTGAAGAGGACAACATTGTCAACAAACCCACATCTGCAACAACAAAAGGGAATATGAACTGGTCTGAAGCCCAAAAAGCCTTCTTAGAAGAGCTCAAGAAGGATTTTAATAGTCAAATGAGAGAGGTAGAAGAGTCCTTCAAAAATACAATTGGCCAATTGGAAAAAAAATATACTGAAGAAAACAAGTACTAAAAAGCACAATTGGGCAATTGAAGAAGGAAGGACAAAAACTGACAGAAGAGTACACTGAAGAAAATTGCCTGTTCACATCCTTTGACCATTTATGAAATGGGGAATGAGTTGTATTCTTATAAATTTGACTCAGTTCTCTATATATTTTGGAAATGAGGCCTTTATCAGAGACACTGGCTGAAAAATTGTTTCCCATATTTCTGATTCCCTTCTAATCTTCATTGCATTGGCCTTGTTTGTGCAAAAAAAAATTTTAATTTAATGTAATCAAAGTTAAGAGATACAAAATCTTAAGGAAGAAAATAACTCCTTGAAAACTAGAATCGGGCATGAGGAATTAAATGACATTATAAGACACCAAGAAATAATAAAACTAGAAAAAATAGAAGAGAATCTGAAGCATCTTATTAGAAAAACAACTGATTTGAACAACAGATCAGGGAGAGACAATACAAAAATTGTAAGACTACCTAACAACATTACAAGAAATTATTAAGGAAAATTACCCTGAGGTTCTAGAACAGGAGGGTAAGGTAGAAATAGAAAAAAATCTATCATTCACCACCTGAAAGAGATACTAAGAGAAAACTTACTGGAATGTCAAAGCCAGGTTTCAAATCTTCCAGCTTAAGAAGAAAGCATTGTAAGCAACAAGGAAAAAAAATTTAAACACTGTGGAAATATAGTCAGGATTTCACAAGACCTAGTAGTTTCTACTCTAAAAGACCATAGCTCTTAGGAAATTATATTTCAAAGAGCAAATGAGCTGGGGTTGCACCCAAGAATAACTTACCCAGGAAAGTTGAGTATGATATTGAATGAAAAATATGGACATTTGATGAACTGAAAGACTTTCAGGTATTTGTATAACAAAAAAAAAAAAAACAACCTAGAACTCAATGGAAAATTTAATATAACACAGCCAGAAGAAATATAAGGAAAACATTAAAGACTAATGATAAAGCACTTAGTAAGGTCAAACTGTTCAGTTATAATACATGAAAATGTTAGCAGTGCACTTAAAACTGTCATCATTACTAAGGCAGTTTGAACAGAAGATTGGGCCTGAGTTGTGTACAACAGGGTGATTTTTAAAAATGATGTAGGAAAAGGGAAGCAATTATATTATAAAAATGTGGTGCGAAAGGAAGTACTACAGAGGAAACAAGGGAGGGGGGTGAAGGGCTAGTAATGTTGGAAACTTACTCTCATCCAGTTCGAAGAGGAAACAATGTGTACATCTAGAAGAGTGTGATTGGTGGTTGTTGTCCTTCATTCTCCAAGAGGATGAAAATTACATCACTATGCTAAAGTCAAATTACAGTGTGTCCAACTGTGGCTGATCAGACCAATGTGAGCTCAGAATGTTCTACCACAGTTCGGACACAAATAGTCCATGTGAACATTTGGCATGGATTGTCCAAATTTGCACATCTCATGTTTCTTTCGAGCTACTTCAATTCTGCTTTGCACATAGAGCATAGCACTTTCTCTGATGTGGCACACCATGCTGAGTGGTCCTCTGCCAGTGTCTCCCATGTCCACAATCAATCCCAAAGTTCTTAAGAGAGACCTTGAGAGTATCTTTGTATCACTTCTTCTAACCACCATGTGAATGCTTGCCCTGTGTGAGTTCTCCATAATATTGTCTTTTTGGCAAGTGCACACTTGGCCTTGTAACAACATGGCCAGCCCATTGGAGTTATACTCTCTGAAGCAGAGCTTGAATGTTTGGCACTTTAATTCAAGAAAGACTTCAGTGTCTGGTATCTTACCCTGCCTGATAATCTTCAGAGTTTTCCTAAGACAATTCAAATGGAAGTGATTCAATTTCCTGGCATGGAATTGGTATACTGTCCAGGTTTCACAGGCATACGACAATGAGGTCAGCACAACAGCTCTGTAGACCTTAAGTTTGGTCATCAGTGTAATATCTTTTCTTTCCCACACTTTCCTTCAGAGATTCCCAAACACTGAGCTAGCTCTGGAAATGCATGCGTCAACCTCATTATCAATGTGTACATCCCTGAAAAACATATAAGCAGTGTCTCTGATAAAGTCCTCAGAGAACTGAGTCAAATATATAAGAATACAAGTCATTCCCCAATTAATAAATGGTAAAAGAATATGAAAAAGCAGTTTTCAGATGAAGAAATTAAAGCTACCTATAGCCATATGAAAAAATTCTCTAAATCACTATTGATTAGAGAAATGAAAATCAAAACAACTCTGAGGTACCACATCACACCTAACAGATTGGCTGACATGACAAAACAGGAAAATGATAAATACTGGAGAAGATGTGGGAAAATTGGAACACTAATACATTGTTAGTGGAGTTCTGAACTGATTCAACCATTCTAGAGAGATTGGTTGGAGATTCCAACCATTTGGAATTATGCCCAAAGGGCTATAAAAATGTGCACACCTTCTGACCCAGCAATACCACTTCTAGGTCTATATCCCAATGAGATCATACAAATGGAAAAAGGATCCACAGGTACAAAAATATTTATAGTAGCTCTTCTTGTGGTGGCAAAGAATTGGAAATTGAGGGGATGACCATCAGTTGGGAAATGGCTAAACAAGTTCTGGTACATGAATGTAATGGAATACTATTATGCTATAAGAAAATGATGAGAACGCAGACTTCAGAAAAACCTGGAAAGACTTGGATGAAGTGATGTTGAACGAATTGAGCAGAATCAGGAAAACATTGTAACAGTCACATTTCGCCATGATTAACTTTGATGGACTTATCCCTTCTTAGCAACATAAGGATCTAAAACAACTCCAAGCAGACTTTTTCATCAGAAAATAGAACAAGCTATCCCACAGAATGTTAGCTTTTTTAGTTCCCTTGTTTTAAGTCTAGCACCTTACTTGATAACCCAAGTAAAAGGCTAAGATCTTAAGTCAGAGGACCTGACAAAGAAGCACATCTAGGATAGGCGTTTTGGGAACCTTTAACTCCCTCCTCCCTAAACTCTTACTCATAGTGACCATTTCTTATGTTTGATCTATATTTTTTCATTTTACTGTTTGGTTAAGGGCTCTTGTTTGGCCAGTCTATTTTTTCTTATTACTGGTCACTTTTTTCTTTCTTTTTACACAACTGCCAGGACTCATAACACATATGAAATGTAAATAAAATCATTTTCTTCTTTCAATAAATAAATAAATAAAGCAACTCCAAAAGACTCATGATAGAAAATGCTGTCCACCTCCAGAAAAATAACAATGGAGCCTGAATGCAGATCAAAGTATATTGTTTGTTCTCTTTTTTCTTTTTTTTTTTGTTCCTTTCTTCTTTCTCATGGTTTCTCCCATTGGTTCTAATTCTTCTTTGCAACATGACTAAGGTGAAAATAAGTTTAATATAAATGTATATGTAGTGTCTATATCAAATTGCAGGCTGTTTTAGGGAATGAGGAGGGAAGAGATGGAGAGGAAATTTGGAACTTAAAATCATGTGGAAGTGAATCTTGAAAACTAAAAATAAATAAACTGAAATGAAAACAAAAAAGAAAGTACAAGGCCAACATAAGTGAACTTATCCACCTCATTCAAAACTTTTCCACTTGCTGTAATCAGTGGTTCTTCAGATGGTTGGAAGTGTGTAGAATTCTTCTGAACATGTAGAGAGGTAAGAAAACTGGCAAACAAGGTGGGGAGGCACTTTTAGAAGACTATGTAGATTGAGATTTGAGAGGGTAGGAGGACAGGATGGGGAAGGGATTTTTGGAGGGGTATGTGGATTGGGATTGGGAAGGTAGAGGGAGGGTGGGAGCTGGAGAAGTAGATAAGATGGGGAGTTGGAGAGTGGGAAATGAAAGATAAGGTAAAGATAATAGCTCAAAAAGGAGAGGCTGAGAAAGAAAATACTAAAAATGTGGTGGAGGGAAATTCAAAAATAGTAAATATAACTTTGAATGTGAATGGGATATTTATAGTAGCTCTCTTTGTGTTGACAAATAACTACAAATTACAGGGATCACTATAAATTTGGAAATGGCTAGACAAGTTGTGGTGTATGGTTATAATTGAATACAACTGTGCTATAAGAAATGAAAAGCTCAATGATCTTAGAAAGGCATGGAATGACTTGCACAAAATGGTGGAATAAAGTGAGTAGAACCAAGAGAATATTGTATACAATAACAGCAATATTACTTTAAAAATGACTTTGAGTGACTAAGTCGTTTTGACATATAAAGAAAGAAGATACCTGCATCCAAAGAAAGAACTGAAAAATGGAAGTATGTAAGAAATAATTTTACATATATGCTTACCTATTTGTGCCTAATGGTAGCCATCTGTAGGGTGGGTTGGGGGGAGGGAAGAAAAAAAGGGGAAAAAAAGAATTTATGTGAAAACGTTATCATATATTTAAAAGAAATAGCAAGTTGTACATAACTGATTTGCAGTTTCATGTACCATCATGTTTTTATTATATTATGTTATGGAAATCATTGTTTTATTCTATAAATAAAAAACAAAATAAATTTTAAAAAATAATGATGATGATGGTGGTGAGGGTGATGATGATGATATTAACAAAATAATCCTTGATTGGCTCAGGGAATTTTTCCTCCTGAATCTGTTGTATTTGCATACTTTAAAACAGTTCTTCCCCAAAGTTCCATTAGTCTCTGATCCCTTCATTGCACTGGAAAATGTTTCTTACTGTTCAACTGGGAGTAGAGACCAGGCATTGAGAGGCAGAAATAGCTTCCTGATTGCCTATCGAGCTAGGAAATCAACTAGGAAAAGAACATGTATGTAGAACCACCCAGCTGAGCCAAGTTTATTTTTTTCAGCACTTCAGTCAATGAACTGATAATCCCACGGGCTCAGTTAATTCAAGTAATTCATTTGATTGATGTCTTCGAGTTGCAACTTACTGACTTATTTCAATGAATTGACTTTTGCTGACAATCACTATTTGTAGCCACAGACTCGGTTTTGGGCTTTGTATTTTTACAATCTACTTCCTTTTCTAAAACTTGTGTTTTGGCCTTTAGGTAAAAAGTGAAATAATACTGATGTGGGAGGAAAAGAATCAGACTTTTACTAGAGATTTCATCCTTCTGGGACTATTGTATCCAAACCAGTACGGACTACTGTTCTTAATGCTTATTCTCATCATTTTTATGGTGGCAATCATGGGGAGCACAGTCTTGATTTTTCTTATCTGCCTCAACACCCAGCTCCACATTCCAATGTACTTCCTCCTCAGCCATCTCTCCTACATGGATATCTTGCACATCTCCAACATCATTCCCAAGATGACTTTCCTATCTGGCTGGCAGCCCATCACATTTGCAGATTGTGGGTTCCAGATCTTCCTCTCCCTCATATTTTTGGTTGCTAAATGCTTTCTTTTCAAGGCCATGTCCTATGATAGCTATGTAGCCATCTGGCGCCCACTGCATTATCTCACCCTCATGAACCATCAGATCAGTGTCCTCATGGCTGCTAGCTGCTGGCTTGCAGGAACCATCAACTCTAAAATTCACACAGCTTACACACTGCAACCCCCTCCTTTTGTGGCACAAGGAGCATTGACCACTTTTTCTGTGAAATCCCAGCCATGTTGAAACTCTCCTGTGTTGACACATCACACTACAAAGGAAGAGTCTATGTGAGTGCTGTGTTCTTCCTCCTAATTCCTTTTTCCATCATTCTTGCCTCTTATGATCAGATTCTCCATACTGTGCTTCACATTAAATTTGTGGAGGCCCAGAAAAAAAGTCTTCTCCACTTGTTCCTCCCATCTGACTGTGGTTGTCATGTACTATGGGCCATTTGTCTTTACATACATGAGGCCAAAGTCCTATCAAACTCCTGGTCAGGACAAGGTCTTAGCCATCTTCTATACCATTCTTACTCCCATGCTCAACCTTGCCATACCATACTGGGCAGGCATGTGCCAGTGCCTCCCATGTCACACAATCAATTCCAAGTTCTTAAGAGAGAACTTTTGCATATCCTCCTATCACTTCCTCTGACCACCATGTGAGCACTTGTCCAGTGTGTGTTCTCCAAGTGGAGAAGTGGAAGTTTTGCATTAGAACAACATGACCAACCCATTGGAGTTGTGCTCTCCATAGCAGAGTTTGAATTCTTGGCAGTTTAGTTCAAGAAATACCTTACTCTCTGCTATGTTATCCTGCCAGATGATCTTCAGAATCTTCCCAAGACAATTCAAGAGGAGGAAATTCAGTTTCCTGGCATGGTGTTGGTATGCTGTCCAGGTTTCAAAGGAATGCAACAATGAGGTCAGCATAACAGCTCTATACTGTATGGAAAATATCCCAAGTAGCATTCACGCATTTTTTGGTTGGACACCAAAAAAAAAATGTTTCTTACCACCTTTAAATGTACAATGAAGTGAACTCAACCAACTCACATATTTGCCTCCCCAAATAAAATCTATTGGCAATCCTATTTATTTGTTGAATTTATTTCATGAATTCTGGTTTAATTTATACCAAGAATGATGCTATTGATTCATGTTTCAATTCTTCCATTAGATAACAATCTCATATGTAGAGGGTAGCAACCAAATGTTAAAATAATATTTATAATAATATAAAACTCTGTGACTCATAGCAAAAATCTTTCATTGTCATGGCTACATCAAAGGTACTATGAAACTGCATTGTTCTTGGTATCATAGGTTGACACAATGAATTACTCATTGGCCAACTATCAGGAATCCAACTTCTCCATGTTCAGCAGGGCTTTCTCTCAGACAGAAGAGAGTTCATACACACACACACACACACACACACACACACACACACACACACTCCTTTTCTGCAATGACAAAAGATAATATTTTTATCCTGAATAAATAGAACTATCTCTTGTGATGGTATGGTTACAGATGATCTTGGGTTTTCCCTTTGAACCACTGATTGCAATTAGTTAGGATTCTGGATTATTGGTTCGTATGTGAGTTCATCTCTCTACTGATATAGAATGTAACTGTTCTGTAATTTTATTTATATTTTATGCATGCTACATCATAAATATTTCACAACCAATCCAATGTACTAAAACCTTTTGTCTATAATACATATGCAGGCATGTGTATATGTATATACATATATACATACATGTATGTATATTGGTGCTATCAATTTATCCTTCAACCTATCAAACCTCTGCTTCTCATTTTTCCAATATTACCGAACTACCTCCTTTTCTGTTGTCTCTCTAATAGAACATGAAGTCCTTGGGAGCCTGGGCTGTCTACCTTTTCTATACTTATTTTTAGTGTATAACAATTCCCTTTGCACACAGTACATGCTGTAGTCTTCTCTTGAGGCCCTCTCTCCCTTTTCATTTCACAGTTTGTATTCAGGTTTGAATTGTTCCCATCATTTACAACCTTCACTCCTACACATATCCTGCATAACAAAAATGAAGAAAATCATGTATTCATTTTGAATGGGGCAGCTCTCTCGTTCTTAGAGCAGACTTTATTCTAATTGTGGTTCATGGGGTTCAGGGGGATCATTCTCATTTACACTGGTTCTAAGTCATCAAAATTTAACCAATTACCCACAGAGGCTTGGTAAATTAGGCCATCTTTTGCCTCAATTCTTACCTTGTCCTTAATATTGAACGGGTGTTGCCTCAGACAAACTGAGACCTGGGGAAGATCTTAATTTAGAAAGACAAAGATCACCCACTGCTTCCTGGGCTTCCTCCAACTACAAAAAGGCTCTTTAAACAAATATAATTAAATAACTGGGGAAATATTGAGTGCCCATGATAGGTGAGTTAATAGAATAAAATGGCATTACTATCTAAACTAATATGTTTGTATAAATGGTTATTTATAATACCGATGAACTATCTTATAGAACTAGACAAAATGATAACAAAATTCATCTGGAGGTACAAAAGGCAAAAAATAGCAAGGGAAATAATGAAAAACTGGGAAGGAATGAAGCTTACCGAATCTAATTTGAACACAGTAATCATCAAAACAATTAGGTGTTGGCTAATAAATAGAGGAATGAATCAATGGAATAGATTTCTTACAAAATATGTGGAAGTTATGAGCACAGCATTTTAGTGTTTAATAAACCCAATGATCCTAGCTTAGTAGGTAGGACTCATTATTTGAAGAAAACAAAGCCTCGGAAAAAACTGGGAAGTGGTCAAATAGACACTAGTACAGACCAACCTCTCGCATCATATACTAAGATAAGCTCCAAATGGTTTCATCAATTAGGCATAAAGGATGACATTACAAATCGTAGGAGTGAGGAAGAAAAAAGTAGTCTTTCAAATCTATGGATACAAAAAGTGTTCATAGTCAAAGAAGTAACAGAGAAAGTCAAAGATAAAATGGATAATTTTTAATAAACTAAATTTTAAACATTCTTGCAGAAACAAAACCAATGCAGCTAAAATTAGAATTGAAGCAGGTAAATGGTGAAAGTATTTGCAGGTCTCTTTGATAAATTCCCATTCCCAACATGTACAGAAAATTAATAAATTAATAACAATGAGAGATATTCCCCAAGTGATAAATGATCAAAGGTATGAACAAGCAATTTTTAGAGGAAGAAATTCAAGTTATCAATAGCCATATTTTAAAAATACTTCAAATTAGAGAAATGCAAATTAAAGAAACTATGAGGCTTCCACTCACACTCATAAGGTTGGCAAGGTTACCAGAAAAGGAAATTGATGAATTCTAGAGGTGGTTTGGGAAAATGGATATATTGATATGTTTGGTTGCACTCTGAACTTGTCCAGGCACTCTGGAAAGAAATTTGGAGTTATACCTACAAATTTATTAAGCTGTACATATCCATTGACACAGCTACCAGATCAGTATCCTAAGAATATTAACTTTAGCCAAGATTTCCCTGTCTGACCTCCAAGGTGTATGTTTGCATTGTGAGTACGGATGTGTGAAAGGGGGAGGTAGAAGAGTCAGGGTATGTCTGAGTAGAGCAACATCAGGGATTCTTGGAGTGGAGGCCAGCGTTGTGTTTGCTATCTTCTGAGCTGTTCTGGCTCTGGAGCTGACCGTGGCCACTTCCATGAATTCATTAGACCTTCAAACAGTAACATAAGGAAATCATATTGCATTGTCTGGCAGATCCTAGGAGTCATTGTGCCCCAGTAGATTTGGAGGAACAGTAAACTCAATGGCTAGTGAAAGTACGGGGATCCTCATTTCTTCCAACAATACCTCTAAAGGAAGCAGTAAAAATGCAATATCAATATGCCCATTGGACTGTTGAATGCCCTGAGAAGTGAAGGGAATTTCAGCTGGTTCAGCAACCCTCCTCATCACTAGTTCTGGTGCTGTTGTCATTGGGTCGGATTGCTTCTCCTGAAATGAAAAGAAAAGAGCCTTCCAGTCAAGACTGTGCTGGTAAATGTCTAACAACTGACTCCCCCAAAAAAGTATGCTTTACACAATTTTCTTTTAATCTGAATTAATAGCATTTTGATCATTTTAAGTCCAGAAAATCAGCAAAACAATGAATTATGCCCTGATTTGTAGCAATTTGTGGATTTCCGAAGTGTAAATATTCACATTGAAAATGTAAGAATCAGCTCTTGTCACCCAGTTGAAACTGGCTCCAGCACACCTCAGCTTCCAAATCTACAATTCTAAAACTGCCCCCATTGACAGACATGTAGGTTGCCCTCCTCATTCTACCAAGGACCTTCAATGTCAAGTTAAGCAAGTTTCCTTCTCATGTCTGGAAAATACTCATAGTTTTAAAGTGAAGGGGTTGGAGTAGATAATGTCTAAAGCTACAGTCAGCTTAGAAATTCTCTTCTCAATGCATTTTTCAGTGATTGAGTGTCAGTGTATTCCCTTTTGGACTGTTCTGGGTGGAAGTGCAAGCCAACAATCATCTCCAGAGAGAAGACAATATGGGGATGATGGCATGTTTCTCTGTTAAGGGCCAGGGATGTACAAGTAAATGAGCTCAGGGGAAGTGTTTGGGGCAGAGATGGCAGATGATTGTACAGGTGGTCTCTGAGGACTTGGGCAGCACAATCACTGCAGGAGGACATGGGAGCACACCTGACAGTACCAGAGAATACATGTAGGATGTCAGATCTGCCTTTCCCTCCAGCAGCTATCTTCAGGAGTTGCATCAGGGCCAGCTGAGCAGTAGCAGCCTAGTACTCTGTTAGTCATCTTCACTTGTAAAGGTGAGAGAGGCATCAAACCTGGGATCACTGGGATCACACATTTAGAGTTGAAAGGACACTTTGAGATCATCAGGTCCAACTTGCTCATTTTTCAGATGAGGAAACTGAGGCCAAGTGAGGATAATGTGCTTTCCTAGTTTCTCATAACCAGGAACTGTCTGAGTTAGAATTAAAAGTCAGGCCATTCTGACTCCAAGTTCATTGCTGCATGCTGCATGTCAAGCAAGTGTGGGGACAATCTGTACAAAGTCATTGCCAATTTCCATTGAGGACTAGATATTAAGACATTCTTCAACAAATAATTACTAATACCAGTTCATGTTTTTACAGTATTTTCCTTATGCAGAACATTTATTTCTCAAGAGACTTTTGATATAAAAAATCCAAAAATTTTTACCCAACTTAAAGATGAGAAAACTGAGGTTCAGAGAAATCAAAGTTGTGGCTAAAATCCAGGTATTTATATGTCTTCTAATTATTTCAAATCAACAACTCTCTCCATCCTGTGATGCTACCTTCCCTGAAATTTAAATTAGACAGATATGGATAAGTGACTAACAGTCTGTGGAGCCTCTTTCTCTGAGGATATTCACAAAAAGTAGGTTCTCTTGTCAAGAACAGGGTAGGCATGGCCCTCCTGCAATGTAGGAAAGAGGTCACCTTTGGTAGACCCTTCTCACATAAGGAGTCTGTGATTGCTTGAGGGAGACATTGTGTGATAACATATCACCCAGTGAAGGTGAGAGAAGTGGGAGGCTAGAGGCAGCTCTGCAGCTGTGTGTGGAAATATGGAGGACAGATGTAA